CCTATGATATCACTGATGGAGCATTTTTATCGCAACGTAAGCTTCGTTCTACAAAAGATGTACTTCAATATACGATATCAGAGTCGAAAATGTTAGCAAAAGAAGAAGAAGACGCTACCGATGAAAAAAAGGAGATACAAAACGACAAAAAAGTCACAATTGCGTATGTGATATCAATCACATCATGTCAAGCCAATGCAACACATGTTCTCGATGGAGCAGCTATTCTCGCGCATTCGATTCATTTGGTTTCTCAAAACAGTACTTATGATTATGCAAGATACGCCTTTGTCTATGAGCAAGAAGCCGCAGAATGTGTTTCTGCGTTGGAGAGAGTGGGATGGAAAACTATCGTCGAGAACAAACTACCCCTTGAAAAGGATCAAATTGTCGATGCCGACTTTCGAAAACATGTGGACAAACACGGCTGTTGTGGTGTAAAAGAGTTCATGAAGCTCAAGGTTTACACCCTGGAGGACCATCCAATAGCGGTTCACTTGGACACCGATGCTTTGCTTCTGAAACCGATGGATAGGCTCTACAATACCATGTTGCTGGCACCTGACACGGATACGAACAAAACTTTGGCTGACGATCATTTGATGTTTCACAAGCGACCTACAAATGCATCGGACTTTTTCTTTACTCGCGATTATCGCCAAGGAAGTAAATGGACCGATGATCCGTCTCAGTATGGAGTTCAAGGAGGATTTCTTGCAGTGAAACCAAACCGGACAATGTATGAAGAACTGATTACTCGATTAACGAATGAAACTTACGGGCTGTATAGAGGCTGGTCAGGGATGGGACACTCTGGATTCTGGGGGGCGTCGCAAATACAAGGCTTCTTATCGTATGTGTATGAGCACCACTATCCTGGTCAAGCAGTTGAGTTGAACAGAGTAAGTCGTTGTTTGTGGAGCTTTTCTTTGACGCGAAACTTCTCTCCCTCTCTCTCTCACACACACATGTGCTTTCAACTCGTCTTTGGGTCGTAGTGTATTTATAATGCAATGATCAACGATAGCCCATATCACAAGAAAACTGGAGCATGCCTGACGAAGGAGAAAGAATGCCAAGACTGTAGAAC